TCTGAAGCAAGAGGATCACTTGAGCCCAGGAGTTTGAGGTTGCTTTGAGCTAGGCTGCGCACGGCACTCTTAGCCTGGGCAACACAGTGAGACTGTCTCAAAAAAAAAAAAAAAAATTATTACCCAGGCTTGAGGTTAAATGGGTAACATATACTGCATGTGGCCAAACTATATGCTGTTAGGAAGTAAGAATCAAAAATAAGATTTCATGGATGCTATTCTTGCTTCTGTCAAAACGATGCTTCAACTAAGAGAAAATACAGGGAAACAGGTCTGATCCTCAGCACAGTTTCCCTAACAGTTAAGTAAAGCTGCCTCCCTACCCACTTGGACTCAGAACCCTAACACACATCCTTCCTTGTAGCCTGCATGTGACATGATCCCACAGGATGGTCACCAACACATTTTGTTATCAAGAGAACATTGTGGCCAGGCGTGGTGGCTCACGCCTGTAATCCTAGCACTCTGGGAGGCCGAGGCGGGCAGATTGTTCGAGGCCAGGAGTTCAAAACCAGCCTGAGCAAGAGCGAGACCCCGTCTCTACTATAAATAGAAAGAAATTAGTCGGACAACTAAAAATATATGGAAAAAATTAGCCAGGCATGATGGCGGATGCCTGTGGTGCCAGCTACTTGGGAGGCTGAGGCAGGAGGATCGCTTGAGCCCAGGAGTTTGAGGTTGCTGTGAGCTAGGCTGATGCCATGACACTTTAGCCCGGGCAACAGAGTGAGACTCTGTCTTAAAAAAAAAAAAAGAATAGTTAGCCACAGTAATTGCCTGAAGCCGAGAACCCTCCCTTTAAAAGCTCTGTATCCTGCCCATGTTGGGGAAATTTGGGATTTTGAAACGAGAAGGTCTACCATTTTTCCTCCTTTGTTGGCAAAAAACTCTTTCCTTCCTCCCCAAACCACTGATTCAGCCTCACTGTGGACAAGTGGCTGAGTTTTCAGTAACTTAATACTAAGTTCCAGCAAAGCATATTCTAGAGCCATAATCAAAGGCCACTGTCCTGGAATCAGTGCCTGACACGTCACAGCCTAGATCACAACTCTGCTTTCTTTGCTCATTGTTATTATGGCTTGACTTTGATTTTTTTCTATATATATTTTATGAACTTTCTATCAGTCTGTCCCATTGTTTTATAATTGAAATTAAGTTTAAATATATATATATAATATAGTAAAATTAACAAGACATATACATGGTAAAAAAAATAGGCACTTTAAATGTTAACTCTAACTTTCATAACAATCCTACAAGTAGATATAACATTGCCACTTTACATATGAATAAACCAGAGCTTGAATAGGCTCCATGGCTTGCCCAAGGCCACAAAGTCTACAAAGCTACCAAGGAATTCACACACAGACCTATCTGGCTACAAAGCTCCTTACACCACAGCACATGGAACCATAGTGAGACTGCAGGGAAAAACAGATTCATAATGGTCATTTATTCACTTAATCTTACAAAGAGAATTTACTTAAACCTAAGCCCTTAAAAAAAGAAAGTTTCAAGCAGCATTTATGATAAAATTGAAGCATTCCCTAGAAGAAACAAAAATCACTTCATAAAGATCATACCTGCAATTCTCCAATGGCCAGAACCACAAGATCTCTAACGCCATCTTCGTCCAAGTCCGGCAACACCACGACCGGGGCAGCCAAGGTGCCGTTGGATAAGTAGTTTGAGTTTAAAGTCCAAATGGCTTTCCCTGGGGAAGGACAAGTAGGCTGATCACTGCCACAGCTTTCTGCCTCTGCAAGAGGCAGGTGCAATGTCCCCAAGCCAACAAAGCACAAAGCTGTCTGAACAACAGACAGCAGCAACTCCTACTTATTCTTTCCTTTAGCTCTTATCTTACTGAGGAAGAAAGGAGCAGAGAGTGTGGTCTGAAATCCTTAACTATCTGGCTAACAGATCCATGCGCTAACTTCACACCTAGATTCCTTACACAAAATGGAGGTGCCAAAGTCTTTCCAAGAAAGGAGTGCTCACTGGTCTGGGGTAGGAGCGCTGACCGGCTAGAGGTTATTAAGACTATTAAGGAACCAGCCAGGGGCAGCCGACCAGAAAACCCACCCTCCCTCCTTCTCCCACATGTTCACAGAAGTAAGCACCTGAGAAATCATAGGAGGTTTTCAAGGTGACTTTGGTTCTAAGTTAACCCATATCCCAATTGTTTTTTTCACTCAGAAGTACCCCGCTAACAAACTCCACCCTCCAATCCTAGGAAGGATGTTATTTATTCAGCTGCGCCTGAGTGCATGGTCCAGACGGGTACCGAGCACCTCGGCAGTACACTTTAGACTCTGTAAGGAACCTTCATCATGGTTCTTTTTCATTCCTTTTGTCATGTATGTCTGAATGCAACAAGAAGCTAAACGGCCAAATCCATAAGCCTCAACAAAGCTCAGTTTCTTCACTGCCATATTTTTATTTAATAAATAGCTAATGTCCAAGTTTAATATCTGTGGACTCGTGTATATAAAATATGAAGAGACAGAGCTCACTTGTCTCTTGTACAAGAACAGAGTAGGGAGACTATTTATATACCCAAGGTCTCAGGGTAGTTTCTGTTTGGATAACTCAGTTGAGCCCCATCCTATCACCAAGCAAGTTGAACCATGGATCTATTTATTCAATCTATCCAGATCACGTCTCTTATTTCCCTGAATAACCACCTGCCAGAGCAGTAAGTCAGACTCTCTACCATGTGAGAGCAGAAAGTTCCCTTCCCTGCTGGGTTGTTCTAATCCAAATCATGGCTCACAGGAGCAAAGCCCTTTTGCGGCCCGTGGTCTCTACCTGACGTTGCATTGAAGGCGCTGAGCATCTTGTGAGTTCCTGTCACCAGGCAGACGGTTCCAGCCGAACCTCCTGGCACCAGGTCCAAACACGTGATATCTCGGGCCTCCTCGGGGAGGGGACTCGACCACAGCGTGCTGCCATTCATCCCCGAAAGGCATACAAGATTAGCAGCTGGTCCTGAGACACCTAAAAGCACACAAGAAAGATAAGAGAGGAGAGCAGGCAGAGGAGATAAGAGGCGGAGCTGAGCAGGAGGCCAGAAAACCAAACGTGGATGGCGGTAAGGCGGCAACGCACACCACGTATCCAGCTCCCGCCCACGTTCCTGGCAACAAGGTCTGAACACACAGTGCCTGCCATTCCAGCTAGACACGCTTCTCACGTAAGTCAAGGGCTGTGGCCTCCTCCACTGCCTCAAATATATCTCCACTTCTGCACCTTTCCTAACACTTCTTATACGTCTGCGCCCCAGCCCCCACAAAATAGTGACATCCGTAAGGAGAAAGACTACCTCGTTAATCCCTGCCTCCTCAGTGCCTTGCAAAATGCCTTGCACCTCTGGCAACCAGATGTTTGCCTAAGAAAAGACAAGAGCAAAATCAAGAATATGAAAAAGTAGTCATTGGCTGGACATGGTGGCTCACACCTGTAATCTTAGCACTCTAGGAGGCCAAGGTGGGTGGATCACTCAAAGTTAGGAGTTTGAAACCAGCTTGAGCAAGAGAGAGACCCCATCTCTACTAAAAATAGAAAGAAATTCATTGGCCAACTAATATATATATATATATATATACATACACTATATATATACATGGCACTCTAGCTGGGGCAACAAAGTGAGACTTTCTTGAAAAAAAAAAAGAACAAAAACCAGAAGGTAAAATTAGACTGAACTAGTATTTATACAGAGCAGGGAGCAAATATCTGAATTTTATTCATCACTAGCAAATGCTGCCTGAGAGCAGAAAAAGAATATTTTTTAAAAATAACCTGAAAAGTACATGTAGCAATGATCAGTAGGTTTTACTGGTCCAGAGTTCCACGGAATCACTTGATTTGGCTCCCATTGGGAAAGAATACTTGGGAAGACGTAATAACCTAGGTCCAGGGATAGCTGGTAAGGGCCTAGAGTAGCCATCTCTGTAGTAATTTATGTCACTATATTCACATGTCAGAATCACAAATTTGTCTCTTGCCAGTTTTATATTCACTTTCAGGACGGGACACCTTGACTCATCTCACGTACTTTCTACTTCCAGCAACAACTACTACAGATAAGGAAATGAAAGTTTCAGAGCTTCCTTCTACCTATTCCTCAGTATCACTGATTAAATATACAACCTAAAAACAAGTGACAAACTGTGGCTCACCATTCCAGACCCATTGCCAGAAGTAGATACCTATGACCAACAGTGGTAACGAGTTAACCCGCAGACGTCTCCACGATGCTGTGGGTAATCTCCTCTGCTGTTCCTCCTTCTCAAGAAGCCTACCGACTGTGGCAATGCTCGGACTCTTTTTTCCCGAGTGTTGATGCATGAGAGGCCCTGCCTGCTCAGCCCTGGAGTGTGACCAGCACAACTCTAGAGAAGGTGCACAGTGCCCTCCACACGGCCGGCATTCGACCCACAGTTGTTGGATGAACAGAGGAACAAGTGAACACACAAATAAAAACCTCAATCCCTCTCATGTCCAGTAGCACAGAGCTCTGTGGGTCATGGGCACGGCAGTTTGGCATGAGGGTTAGGGGCGTACCAAGTTCCCTAACCTCAGCGTATGTCAACTCCCAACTCCCTCATCTGCAAAAGGGAGATAATAATATTAGCCTACCTCATGGGACTGTGTTGGGGAAAAATCGGTTCATATGTGTGCTGTGCTTACCACAGTGCATGGCACATAGAAAGCACCACATGTCAGCTGTATTGTTGTTTTTATAATCTGTGCCCAAATCAGGCTGGTCCCTACTGTGTCCAAGCCCACAGGGTCTTACCATTATGAGTCTTGATATGTAGCAAACCATGTAAGACACCAAATGACTAAAAGCATCTCGAAATCTAAAAGGGGATGGGGGAAATTTTTACTTCAAAAGTCACGGGCAGGCAAAAATGTACTTAAGTTTCAATTACGTGAAAATCTATTGCTAAGCTAGAGATTCTCTCTGTAACACATCTCTGCCCAGACTGTGGATAATCTCCTCTGCTTCTACAGTCTTGCTTCTACATGTCACCCAGACTCAGAAAGTCATTTCTAATAGTGTCAAAGAGGCCGGGCGTGGTGGCTCATGCCTGTAATCCTAGAACTCTGGGAGGCTGAGGCGGGAGGATAGCTTGAGCTCAGGAGTTCGAGACCAGAACTCCAGCCTGAGCAAGAGCAAGAGCCTATCTCTACTGAAAATAGAAAGAAATTAATTGGCCAGCTAAAAACAGAAAAAATTAGACGGGCATGGTGGTGCATGCCTGTAGTCCCAGATACCGCAGGAGTTTTGAGGTTGCCGTGAGCTAGGCTGATGCCACAGCACTATAGCCCAGGCAACAGAGTGAGACTCTGTCTCAAAAAAATAGTGTCAAAGAGATGTGCAATTTAGGATTCTCTAAAACACACCTAAGCCCCAGGGCCTAAACGATTTATAATAAAAAGCAGTTACTAGGACATCTTCAGCCTCAAACTGGAGGCCCTATACCAGCTTACAGACTGCAGTTTGACTCTACTTCAGTGGAGGCTACAGGACACACCAAAAGTCCCTTTGTACCTGTGCTAAAAATGGATGATTTTTCTTTCCCTCCCTCCCTTCCTTTCTTCCTTCCTTCCTTCCTTTTATTCTTTTGCAGTTTACATGTGTAACAGCTGGGCTTCCAGAAACAGCACCCTCAATTAGGGTAAGCTCTGGGAGGTTTAATAAGGAGACCATTTACAAAGATGTGGCCAGGATATAGGGACACCACAAGTGACAGAACAGTCTCTCAGAACTGTTACTGCTTCCAGGCCCAAAGAGACAAGAGGAGGAAGCAATCACTGGGATCTAGAAAAAGAAAGTCCTCTAAGAGGGCCACCTTGAAACAAGCTGTGACCCGGGGTCAAGGGTGTAGCCACCCTGCAGTGACTCCAGTGGGGCGGGAGCCAGGGGAACAAATGCCCCTCATCACACTCCATCCCCTCCAGTTCCCCGCCGGTGCCCCCAGTGGGCCAAGCCCAGCGGGAAGGCGGCCAGCAGGCCGGGGGCTGTGAGCTCATGCACACAGACCAGCCTCCCGACGCAGACAGCAGGAGGGAGGGCAGACCTGGAAGAGTAAACTGCAGGGGGAATGGAAGACCCCGGCCAAGAGGTGTGTGTGCAAAGATGTGTACACAACACAGGGACAGGCACTTTCTGCCAGGAGTGGGTGGGTAAGATAGAGTGAACATTCATTATAATCGAAGAGGCAGCGGAAAATTGGGAGGAAAGTCATAAAACCTAAGTACTAAGGACGTTCACTACAGGCGTGTGGGCAAGTCACTTCCTCTCTGGATCCCAGTTTCTTCACCGGCCTGGGTGACCACTAAAAAGTTCTTTCCAGCTGTAACCTTGTTTCTTGGACTGAGCTTTATTTACAGGCAGGAACTTTCTGATTTGGCGTATTTGTCTATGACAGACCCGTGGGAACTTTGTGTCCCTGGCAGACCCTTGTGCAGTGCCCCTTGGGAGACACCTCTGATGCCTGTCCTAGCTGACAGTCCCCTGGAGCAGCCCTGCAAAGGCCCGTCTCTTACCTACTGCGCTCCCATTCCTGGAGCCCACAAAGGAGAGAAGCACGTCACGCAGGCCGTCTCCATTCACGTCGGCCAGTTCCAGCGGAGACAGGTCCCCACCTGGCAGATACATTGAGAAGTCAAAAAGGTCCTGAGTGAGTTACCACAAACCAGTTCTCTGCTGCCAGGACCTCCACAGACATCGGGCCGACTTCCGGTTCCTCCCGCTGAGTACCTCTAAGCACTCTAGACATTAAACATAAACAAACATAAGACAACTCTTTTTTTTTTTTTAATTTAAAATAAAAAATAAAGGTTCCTAAATTTGGAAAGGAAAGCTTTACTTTCTTTTTTTTTTTTAGATGAAGTCTCACTGTGTTGCCCGGGCTAGAGTGCCGTGGCGTCAGACTAGCTCACAGCAACCTCAAACTCCTGGGCTCAAGCAATCCTTCTGCCACAGCCTGCCAAGTAGCTAGGACTACAGGCATGCGCCACCATGCTCGGCTTACTTTTTTTATATGTTTTTAGTTGGCCAATTAATTTGTTTCTATTTTTAGTAGAGATGGGGTCTTGCTTTTGTTCAGGCTTGTTTTGAACTCCTGACCTTGAGTGATCCTCCCGTCTCGGCCTCCCAGAGTGCTAGGATTACAGGCCTGAGCCACCACGCCAGGTCAAGACAACTCTTATGGAGAGGAGAAGGCAGGCCAGCTAGGAATGACAAGGTTATGAGTCCTCGGGTTTTCTTTTGGCCTCTCATATCCCAAATGGCCTGTTGGAGAAGCCAGTACTGCAGGTCCAGACAAAAGAGCCCCAAGAAAAGCTGGCTTCCCGCCGGGTGTGGTGGCTCATGCCTGTAATCCCAGCACTCTGGGAGACCGAGGTGGGCAGATTGCTCGAGGTCAGGAGTTCAAAACCAGCCTGAGCAAGACCCCGTCTCTACTAAAAATAGAAAGAAATTAATTGACCAACTAAAAATATATATAGAAAAATTAGCGGGCATGGTGGCGCATGCTGTAGTCCAGCTACTAGGGAGCTGAGGCAGTAGGATTGCTTGAGCCCAGGAGTTGAGGTTGCTGTGAGCTAGGCTGATGCCATGGCACTCACTCTAGCCTGGGCAACAATGAGACTCTGTCTCAAAAAAAAAAAAAAAAGCTGGCTTCCCTAGCCAAAGGCGCAGGAAAAGGCGAGCCTAGCAAGACAGAAAAGTTTTAGATAATAAACTGCTCTTCTCCAACCAACACTGCAGATACAACCACGGCCCCAGCCCCACCCCCACTCCTGTAGCAAGGCTGTATGGGGAGCCTAGACTTCCACCCTCTGCTGGCTGTAACAAGGCACCCCGCTCCCCACCACGACCACCACCCCCAAGATCATGTCAGAGAAGGCCAGGACTGTCACCCTCACCCAGGGACTAAGGCCATCTGCAAACAAGGGAAGACTATATAGTTCTACACCTGTCTGTGTTAATCAGGCACCTTCCCCTCCTTCCCACCAGGATGGAGTCAATAGAGGCCAGGTGGGAAGCCTGGACTTCCATCTCCCATCCGCCCAACAGCGTGGAGTCAGAGGATGCCTGCCAAATTTGGAGAGAATTCACACATGACTAGCGTAAGTGTAAACTGGTACAAACACTTTAGAAAATAATGTAACATAAACTAGTAAGAATGGACACACACACACACACATACACCCCCTATATATAATCTAGCAATTTTACTCCTGGGTTTATGCCTTCGAGAAATTCTTATACATTGCATCAGGAAACATATACAAAACTGTTCTTAACAGCATCATTTAGGGAAAAAAAAGACTAGAAGCCACTTAAATGTTTACCAACAGTAAAATGGATAAATAACTTATGGGCTATTCATACATGAAAAGTTAGACAATAGGGAAAATGAATAAACTCCAGCTACACACATAAATATGGATGAACCTCAAAAATATTTTTTCAAAAAAATTAGGTTGAGCAAAACAGCAGGTCACAGAAGACTACATGACTACATTTATCTAAAATTCAGAAACAGGCAAAATCAATGAATACATAGTTTAGGGGGTATATATTGATGTCCTAAAACTTTAAAGAAAAGTAAGGGAATAACTGACACAGAATTTAGGATGGCAGAACCCTTTGGTGGGTGAGGAAGGACACGTAAGAGATAGCAGAGGTCTCAGCTACGTTCAATTTCTTAAGCTGGGTGGTAGACATACCAACCCTTACACTGTAGGTAAATATTACGTATGTCAATTAAATTTGCCTTAAGAGAAACTATAGACGAGAACACAGAACCCACCAAAAACAAACTCAGCTGGGATCAGAGAAGAGGCAGGGGTAAACATTTCAGGTCACAACAGGAGCCTGCAAGCGACAGGACTACTCTGCACAGGTGCGCGCGATATAACCCCCATGCCAGAGCAAGAGCTTCCAAAGAAATCTGCTCCAAAAGGTGACAAAATAGCTGGAGTGCCACTATTACTCAAGCAGTGCCACTCTTAACCACTAGGCGCAAGAAAGAAAAGACAGACACTATCTTTTACAGGAAATGAAATTACTATTTTAGAACGTAAATTGGGTCAGGCCTCTACAACCAACAAATAAATGCCTGAGGGTTCCTACAAGAGCCCCAGCCCCAGGTGTGGCCAGGCCCAGAGCCTTGCTTTCCTCTAAGCAGCCCTGCCTGCAGCTTTGCTTTGCCAGGATACAGTGCTGGCTCCCCGGCAGGAACCGGGCAAACTAATGCCCTGCCCTCTCTAGGTCTAATAAAGACCAATCCGCAGACACGACAATGCAGTGATTCCCAGGTTCTTGGAGGGGTATCAATCCATCTTTTTGTTTTATTTCCAATCCTAACTAACCTCCTGACCACCTCCACACATGCGGAGGAAATGCTGCATGACACACATTGGTTCCTCAGACTTAAGGGAAAACGTCAAGGTCATCAGATACACCGTGAAGTTTGACAGAATTGGGGCTGCAAATGGTGCGGCTCACCTCCCTGGGCGCCCAAGTGGCGGCTCCACGTGCTGTGCAGGTCCCGGGGAGGACAGGGGATCAGGAAAGCGCACAGGAGCACCAGGATCATCGAGATCCCCAGAGTCAGCAGGAAGACGGATGTGCGCACGTAGGACACCAGGGAGGAGGTCGCCTTCTGCTCCAGGCCTCCCGGGGGTTCCGAGGGGTACCCCTCCGTGGCGACTTCCGAAAGGTGTGGCTTTGCAGCCCCGGCGGCCTCGGCATCTGAGTCCGGCTCTGGCGCTTCTCCCAGAGGACTCTTCCCGTTCTTGAGCCCTCCGTTCTTCTGCTGCAGGTTGAGCACAAGGTCATCTTCGCTCTCGTCGCTGTCGGCCTGGGTGAGGGGGTCATACTCCCCCAGGTCTGGGCTCTTCTTCCCTGAAAAGACAGAAGGAGAGGAGAGTCAAGGAGAGCTAGGAAGGAGAAACCCTCACCAAAGACATGGCAACTATGAACACCTAGGAGAATGCACAGAAAAGAAAACCAAAAAAAAAAACAACTAAGTTTACATCAAGTCTGGACCTTGGTGGCAATCTGTAAATAGACACCAGCCGGGGAGGGGAGGAAGGAGGGGGAAAAAAGGATAATAGTGTTCCAGGATTACTGCCTTCGTGAGTTTAAGAAAATGGAAAAAGAGACAGAGAAATTAGCAAGTTTCAAATACCTTCAGTTTAAAAAAAACAAGAAAGCTCTCCTGTTTGAATCTCACTCATGAAAAAGTCCACAGCTGCTGTGTCCGCTCTCCATACGCCTAGCGTGCATACTGCTTAGAGTTTCTTAGATCTGTGATGTCCTAATCTTTCCTGGTCGACTTTTAGAACAATTCCCTGGACATTGCTTCTCACAGTCCAATATTTATGGCTTCCCAATTGTTTCTACGGAAACAACTGAGAAAACTGAATACAAAATGTCATTTGGAGATGTCGTACTGCAATCTCGCTTCTGAGAACCGTCCTGTGATTCCGATGCCGTTTCAGTACATCTTTCTGTAAACAGCGTTTACCTCTAAAACTGCTATTCTGAGCACATATTCTGGGAGGGGTGGTGATCTAGCAGGAACCTAGAGGAGGCGGACTTGTCTTGAAGCTGCTTTGCACAGCAAGTACCCTGTTTTTACTTAGATTGTAATGTTGCCTTTTTTTTTTTTTTCTTTTTTGAGGCAGAGTCTCACTCTGTTGCCCAGGCTACAGTGCTGTGGCTTCAGCCTAGCTCACAGCAACCTCAAACTCCTGGGATCAAGCAATCCTTCTGCGTCAGCTTTCCGAGTAGCTGGGAATATAGGCATGTGCCACCATGCCCGGCTAATTTTTGCTATATATTTTTAGTTGGACAATTAAATTTCTTTCTATTTTTAGTAGAGATGGGGGTCTCACTCTTGCCCAGGCTGGTTTCGAACTCCTGACCTTGAGCGATCCACCGACCTGGGCCTCCCAGAGTGCTAGGATTACAGGCGTGAGCCACTGTGCCCTGCCTATAATGTTGCTTTGGGGTGGCTGAGAGGTACAAATTACAGCAGGGCCTAAACACACCTCCTCCCTGCCAATGACTGAATGAGTTTATGCCTTTATTTCATGCTATAACCAAGTTTTTAACCACAGAAAAGTTTCTTTTTTTGGAAATTATCTGGTAAGCTGTTACTAATATAAACTATATTGTTAAATCTTTTGTTCAAAATATAAAAAGAAAACATAACCCAGCTAATTACAAAGGGAAAAAGAAAAATTCTCAATGCTAAACTCTGCCTCTAGGTCACTTAATTCACAGTTTGCTTAATTCATGAAATGAAGCAATGAAACACTATATGGAGACCAGATATGGGAAGTAAAATCTTTAATATTAAGATTAGTATTTGGTGCACAGAAAATCAATAAATGTTTGATTAAAAAATGAGCATTCCATTATTTTTTAACATTAAGTACCTTTCAAAAAAACACAGACGATATTGAGTAATCTGGCATTCTAATAACTAGAAAATTCTATCAATTTTCATTTTCAAAGTTATTTATTTTATCCATACATACTGGATTATATTTATAAAGGCACAAATTATAAAAAAAAGTTGTAAGTTCCACTTATTAGGAACTTCAAAATAGTACTTCCAGGATATGCCATAGGGTCATTACAGGTTCAGACTAGTCTTTTTTTTTTTTTTTTTTTTTTTGAGACAGAGTCTCACTCTGTTGCCCAGGCTAGAGTGCTATGGCATCAGCCAAGCTCACAGCAACCTCAAACTTCTGGGCTCAAGCGATCCTTCTGCTTCAGCCTCCCAAGTAGCTGGGACTATAGGCATGTGCCACCATGCCCGGATAATTTTTTCTATATATTTTAAGTTGTCCAGATAATTTCTTTCAATTTTTTTAGTAGAGATGGGGTCTCGCTCCTGCTCAGGTTGGTCTCGAGCTCCTGAGCTCAAACGATATGCCCACCTTGGCCTCCCAGAGTGCCAGGATTACAGGCGTAAGCCACTGCGCCTGGCCCTCAGACTAGTCTCTTAAAATGTATATTTCCAGCCTTCTTTCCTAGCCCTTGTGAGCTTTTTGATTTCCTATGGCTCTGGGTTGGTGGCTCCTACTGAAGATCATCTTTTGTCCTTTCTCAGGCATTGCAGTCCTTATGCCAGGTGGCTACTACAATGAATTTGATCCCTTTGCCTTATCAGATTCTTCTGGTACGCTATAATCTTGACTTCTGTTTGTTTATAAAAACTAGAGTCTTAAAATAGGAATGGATTTGAGGCCAGGCTGGTGCGGTGGCCCACACCTGTAATCCTAGCACTTTGGGAGGCCAACTTGGGAGGACTGCTTGAGGTCTGGAGACCAGCCTGAGCAAGAGCGAGACCCCCATCTCTACAAAAAGTAGAAAAAGGCCAGGAGCAATGGCCCACGCCTGTAATCCTAGCACTCTGGGAGGCCAAGGCGGGTGGACTGCTGGAGGTCAGGAGTTTGAAACCAGCCTGAGCAAGAGTGAGACTCCGTCTCTACTAAAAATAGAGAAAGAAATCAATTAGCCAACTAACAAATATATATACAGAAAAAAAAATCAGCCAGGCATGGTGGCGCATGCCTGTAGTCCCAGCTACTTGGGAGGCTGAAGCAGGAGGATTGCTTGAGCCCAGGAGTTTGAGGTTGCTGTGAGCTAGGCTGATGCCACGGCACTCTAGATCAGGCAACAGAGTAAGACTGTCTCAAAAAAAAAAAAAGTAGAAAAAAAAAAATTAGCCACGCGTTGTGGTACGTGCCTGTAGTCCAAGCTACTCAGGAGGCTGAGGCGAGAGGATCGCTTGAGCTCAGAAGTTCAAGACCAGCCTGACTGAGAGTGAGACCCTGTCTCTAACTAAAAATAGAAAAATTAACCGGGCGCCCTGGCCTACTCCTGTAGTCCCAGTTACTCAGGAAGCTGAGGCAAGAGGATCGCTTGAGCCCAGGAGTTTGAGCTTGCAGTGAGTTATGATGATACCACTGCACTTTAGCCCAGGTGACAGAGTGAGACCCTTTCTCAAAAATAAAATAATAAATTAAAATAAAATGACTTGAAAGGAGTTGAAAAAAATTTATATTTTCACTCTATGAACAAATTATTTATTAATTAGGATATACCAAATATAATAACTCTATATATAATAATTTGCAAACAGAGTCCTGGGTTTTTACAATAATATTAACTAATATTTTTTAAAGTGATTGTTTTTGGTTTTTTGGCTAAAATACACCTGACATTACAAACAAAATGTGGTATACACATACCATACAATATTTTATTTAGCCCTAAAAAGGAAGGAAATTCTGACACATGCTACAACATGGGCGAACCTTGAGGACATTGTGCTAAGTGAAATAAGCCAGTCACAAAAAGACAAGTACTATGTAGTTCTACTCATATGAGTTATCTAGAGTGGTCAAATTCACAGAAACAAAGTAGAATGGTGGTTGCCCCAGTCAGGGGAAATCGTGAATTATTACTTAGCGAGCATAGAGTTTCAGTTTTATAAGATGAAAAAGTTCTGGAGGTTGGTTGCACAATGTGAATATACTTAATACTCAACAATACACTTAAAAATGATTAATATGGGCCAGGTAAGGTAGCTACACCTATAATCCTAGCACTCTGGGAGGTAGAGGTGGGAGGATTGCTCGAGGTCAGGAGTTCAAGATCAGCCCGAGCAAGAGCAAGACTCTGTCTCTACAAAAATTGAAAAATTAGCCGGGCATGGTAGCACATGCCTATAGTCCCAGCTACTCAAGAGGCTGATGCAACAGGATAGCTTGAGCCCAGGAGTTTGAGGGTGCAGTGAGCTATGATCATACCACTACACTCCAGCCCCAGCAACAGAACAAGACTCTGTCTCCAAAACAAACAAACAAAAAAAAGAGAGATTAAGGTGGTAGATTTTATGGTATGTACATTTTCCCACAATTGTAATATTTTTTTAAGAAAGAATATACCTGACAAATGAAAACATGCACATAATCCCTAAATCTCAGAATTAGAAGAAACTTTAAAGATCACATAACCCACCCCACCCTTATTCCAAACTTACAAATACCCACCAACCAGTTCCTTAGCATATATTTTTAGTACAGATGGGATCTCGCTCTTGCTCAGGCTGGTCTCTCAAATTCCTGACCTTGAGTGATCCACCTGCCTCGGCCTCCCAGATTGCTAGGATTAGAGAGGCATGAACCACCGCCCACCCCGGCCAAATTTCTTAGAATATAAATGAACTTAACCATTATTAGGGAATCCACTGGCCTCCAATCTAAAAAACTATTCTTTACACTGATTCAATAATCTATTTCTGAGTAGTTGCCAATTATCTTTCTTAGTTTTACTTCCTGGGACCCCTCTTCCACATTCAAGTGATCCTGTATCAAGTCCTTCAATATTCAAGTCCTTCAAATAATTGAAGGTATCAATCATGAGAGACATATAATACGGTATTTCAGAGTTCAGGTCTTCACAATCAGATAAACATCAAGCCAAATCTATCAAACATCAGTCCTGTTAACTGTGAGACCTCAAATTTCTTTACTGAGCCTCATTTTCCCTTTTTATGAAATGGAATATTATTTTTACCTCATATAGTTGTTATGAGGATTAAATATGTATGGTTCTTAGTGCCTGAGTTATAGTCACACTCAATAAATTCTAACTTCTATTACTACCATTACTACCACTGTTACTGGCATTCTATCTCCGGCCTGCCCTCCTCCAGTCCTCATATCCAGCTAAACATCTCCACCTCTTTCTTTTTTTTTTGAGATAGAGTCTCACTCTGTTTCCCAGGCTAGAGTGCCGTGGCATCAGCCTAGCTCACAGCAACCTCAAACTCCTGTGCTCAAGCAATCCTCCTGCCTCAGCCTTCCACATAGCTGGGACTA